GACAGATTTAGGCACCCCCAGGTTATAACACTGCAGCCACACTCCATCCCAGAACCCCTGGTGTGAAGGATCCATGGTCCTTTACATTGACAGATTTAGGCATCCCCAGGTTATAACACTGCAGCCACACTCCACCCCAGGACCCCTGGTGTGATGGATCCATGGTCCTTTACACTGACAGATTTAGGCATCCCTAGGGTGTTACACTGCAGCCACACTCCATCCCAGAACCCCTGGTGTGAAGGATCCATGGTCCTTTACATTGACAGATTTAGGCATCCCCAGGTTATAACACTGCAGCCACACTCCACCCCAGGACCCCTGGTGTGATGGATCCATGGTCCTTTACACTGACAGATTTAGGCATCCCCAGGTTATAACACTGCAGCCACACTCCACCCCAGGACCCCTGGTGTGATGGATCCATGGTCCTTTACACTGACAGATTTAGGCATCCCCAGGTTATAACACTGCAGCCACACTCCACCCCAGGACCCCTGGTGTGATGGATCCATGGTCCTTTACACTGACAGATTTAGGCATCCCCAGGTTATAACACTGCAGCCACACTCCACCCCAGGACCCCTGGTGTGATGGATCCATGGTCCTTTACACTGACAGATTTAGGCATCCCCAGGTTATAACACTGCAGCCACACTCCACCCCAGGACCCCTGGTGTGATGGATCCATGGTCCTTTACACTGACAGATTTAGGCATCCCCAGGTTATAACACTGCAGCCACACTCCATCCCAGGACCCCTGGTGTGATGGATCCATGGTCCTTTACATTGACAGATTTAGGCATCCCCAGGTTATAACACTGCAGCCACACTCCACCCCAGGACCCCTGGTGTGATGGATCCATGGTCCTTTACACTGACAGATTTAGGCATCCCCAGGTTATAACACTGTAGCCACACTCCACCCCAGGACCCCTGGTGTGATGGATCCATGGTCCTGTACATTGACAGATTTAGGCATCCCCAGGTTATAACACTGCAGCCACACTCCACCCCAGGACCCCTGGTGTGATGGATCCATGGTCCTTTACATTGACAGATTTAGGCATCCCCAGGTTATAACACTGCAGCCACACTCCAACCCAGGACCCCTGGTGTGATGGATCCATGGTCCTTTACATTGACAGATTTAGGCATCCCCAGGTTATAACACTGCAGCCACGCTCCACCCCAGGACCCCTGGTGTGATACTGACGGTCGTTTGACAAAACATGCATGTTTTATACCAATAGATTCAATTCCTGACATGGAATAGTTCTTCACTGCCAAGGTCTCCCCAGGAACATGTCGCACCTAGTCACCAAGGTTGAGACTTGGGTCGTTTTAAACTCCAGATTTTCCCTCAGAATACACCTAACTGTGGAAGAGTGATTCTTGTTACAATTAGTAGCAATCTTGGCGCTCTTGCGCCTATCTAGTACATACCCTGAACCCATTCAACACAATAGCTTTGTAGTGAGTCTGTTTGAACACTACTCGGCTCTGGAAAAACTTGCAGCATATGGACTTCCCTCACCCTGGCTTTTTAGGGGCGGTCGGGTAGCCTAGTGGTTAAAGCGTTCGCTCGTCACGCCGAAGACCCGGGTTCGAATCCCGACATGGGTACAATGTGTGAAGCCCATTTCTGGTGTCCCCCACCGTGATATTGCTGGAATATTGCTAAAAGCGGCGTAAAACCAAACTCACTCACTCACCCTGGCTTTATCAAGTCAACACATAAAAACATCTTTCCAGCTAAAAGCTTCCAGTTCAGTCTTCTGATTTGATCAACTATATCGAGGACTTGCACTATGAATGCATTTGGAATGAATCTCTGTGCCCAAGTAGACTTAAGAAGTGTTTTGATTTCAAGGTCATCAGTGAGAGAAATTCTGTCTTGCGTTAGTGGTTAGAGAGATGGAGCTGGTGACATCACTGCCGCAAGAGAGATGGAGCTGGTGACATCACTGCCGCAGTGAAGCTATGGAGGTGAATGGATGCAGGGTATACGTCTTAAGAGAAGGGGGCAGTCGGGTAGCCTCGTGGTCAAAGCGTTCACTTGTCATGCTGAAGACCCGGTTTCGATTCCCGACATGGGTACAATGTGTGAGGCCCATAGCTGGAATATTGCTAAAAGCAGCATAAAACCATACTCACTCACTTACTTATAAGAGGAGGAGGACATTATACATTTAAGGATTGGCTGTTGTGAATTTTTTTAGAATCATTGAGGTATTAATCGAAAAACCACTGTGCAAGGCGTATGAATCAGAATGCAGGAATTACAATAAACACAAAACAAATGTAATTATTTGATTGTGAAGGATGGCAGAAACTGTGTTTGCATGAGAATGTTACTGAGTATAACAGTGTAATAATAGGATTAATTTGCGTACTTCTGTTTGGAATTGTTGACTGGTATTTCTGGTTATAACATGTTGGCTGTGATCAGCTGGTAATGTTTTTTTGCAATGGGAAAAAATTGAAAGAGACTGTCGGATTAACGGGTCTAAATAGCACTGATTTAATCGGTTCCCATCATTAGTGTCGGATACAGCCGATTGTCGGATTAATGAGTGTCAGATTAACAAGACTTGACTGTATATTGAAGGGATCTATAGCGAGGGAACACAGTGTTCAAGATGAATTGTTATTGTGAACGAGGGCATAAACATTTGGCATGTTTGAACCAGGCGTGACTACCAGGGGGATCTATAATTAAAATTGTATTAATGTTATAATTGTACCTGCAAAATTGTGACTGTTCATTATCATTATTAGTGTGATAGCTAATAGTCTGCTGCCATTTGTGTTGGTGTAAGACAGCATGAAAACAAACAATTTGCCTGTAACAACTTATCCTGTTATTCAGACTAATTCTATGACTGGTCAAAAGAAATTCAGGGTGTTCACTTTCCCTCCCAAATTCCATGTATCTATCATCAGGTCGTAACAAGTGATTAATTTGTGAGTGGATCTGTCATGGTCGCAATCACTATGGTATACAAAGTTGCTGAACTAGATTTTGAAAGTATTTCTTTGCAGGCCTTAATGGTAGCATAGAGTATACAAACAAAGTACAAAAAAGGAATATAAATATAAACAGCATTATAAACAAACCAAAATACAAATACTGAATATATATGCTGTAAAATCAGAAAATACAAACATTGACTGAAATAATCAGATTTCTGTGAATACCAGAGTTTGAGGAACATCTCTTTGTTATGTTTCAATGTATATTAGTATGTATCACAATACAGCCCCTGCTTTTTTGATCCCCGGCTGCATCATACCAAAACACGTTACAAGATGTTACTTGTTGTTTCACTGCCTGGTGCTCATCCTTAAGGGGCTAAACCAAGGACTGGTCGGCTCGTAGTCTGTACACTGTGTCTGAGTGGGGTGTTACGTTAACCTTACGTATGCTGGCATTAGTCCGGACAAGTACAAGCAGCCACACAAACACTTGCTATACACGTGCAGTAATCTCACCTTCTTGCATAGTTAGAAGGATCCAATTTTTGCAGACGGTACAGATGTACATCCAGACTTGGCTCAAGATGTTCAGTTAAATGTTCTCCAGATGTTCCTCTAAGTGTTGCTCTGGATGTTCCTTTAGATGTTCTCCAGATGTTCCTCTAAGTGTTGCTCTGGATGTTCCTTAGATGTTCTCCAGATGTTCCTCTAAGTGTTGCTCTGGATGTTCCTTTAGATGTTCTCCAGATGTTCCTCTAAATGTTGCTCTGGATGTTCCTTTAGATGTTCTTCTAAGTGTTGCTCTGGATGTTCCTTTAGATGTTCTCCAGATGTTCCTCTAAGCGTTGCTCTGGATGTTCCTTTAGATGTTCTCCAGATGTTCCTCTAAGTGTTGCTCTGGATGTTCCTTTAGATGTTCTCCAGATGTTCCTTTAAATGTTGCTCTGGATGTTCCATGTGATGTTCTTCTAAGTGTTGCTCTGGATGTTCCTTTAGATGTTCTCCAGATGTTCCTCTAAATGTTGCTCTAGATGTTCCTTTAGATGTTCTTCTAAGTGTTGCTCTGGATGTTCCTTTAGATGTTCTCCAGATGTTCCTCTAAGTGTTGCTCTGGATGTTCCTTTAGATGTTCTCCAGATGTTCCTCTAAGCGTTGCTCCAGATGTTCCTCAACATACCTTAAAATGTTCGTGAATGTGTTCATCTGGGTGTTCCTCTGACTGTTATCTTCGACAATATGAGAGGAATTGTCTCGTCAGAAAGTTTATGGGTAGATGTGCCTGTGACATGTTACCATCAAACTGTTCAAAGCATCATACAGATGTTTTTGTTCAACCATTAAGCCAAACATTTACACCAAGTGAACAGAAAAGATTCTACAAACTCTCTCTACCATCTGAAATGTCTGCATGGATCGTGAGGATTAAGGCTATAGTAGGAATAAGGTAAGCAAGCTACAGGATTAACTTTTCTTTTTGCAAGAACATCTCGAGACTATATCCAGTTCTGTTTTCATTTTTGTTCAGGCTTGTTTTGTTTACTTGTTCAGAGATTTTCTGTGTGAAAATTTGCATGCAGCAAAATGAAAATAACATCCCAATGTAAATATGATGGCTGATGTGAGGCCAGTCGCCTAGAATGGAAGCTATTATAACGTGTGACCTAGGGATTATGGATGTTATTTTGAAATTACCTGTTGGTACTTGTTTAAAATATTGAAGTGGATTTTGTATTTAAAGAAAGGAGAATTAAATAAACATTATTTATAGTGCTCTATATTTTATGTCTATTTTACTTGACAAAATTTGAAAAAGAAAAAAGGAACAACTTATCCTGCCTGAAGCAAACAAATGCTTGTGATTTTGACACCTGTATGATACCCTTTGTTTGAGCTGTTATTTATTTGACTGAGATCATCAATACGTTTGTTATGCAACCTTTCAGTTTGACTCTAAAACGTTTGTGTAATGAAACAACAATTTTGCTGTTTAGCCTGACACTGCTATGATATGTTTCTGTAGATTCCAAATGAGGACATCCATGCTGTATCAAGCTATACTCAAATAAAAGATGAGGACGTGATGATGTCAACAAGTCAAGATATGGCATCGTCTTCTTCAAACGTCAACGATTTCCAGGATCCAAGCCAAGAAATGACATTGTCTTCGTCAACCTACAACGATTCCCAGGATCCAAGCCAAGAAATGATATCGCTTGCTTTGATCAAGGAAGACTCCGAGTATCCGATGACTCCAAACCAAGATATGACATGGCCTTCTTCAACCAACAAAGACTCTGAGTATCCGATGACTCCAAACCAAGATATGACATGGCCTTCTTCAACCAACAAAGACTCCGAGTATCCGATGACTCCAAACCAAGATATGACATGGCCTTCTACAACCAACAAAGACTCCGAGTATCCGATGACTTCAAACCAAGTTATGACATGGCCTTCTTCAACCAACAAAGACTCTGAGTATCCGATGACTCCAAACCAAGATATGACATGGCCTTCTTCAACCAACAAAGACTCTGAGTATCCGATGACTCCAAACCAAGATATGACATGGCCTTCTTCAACCAACAAAGACTCCGAGTATCCGATGACTCCAAACCAAGATATGACATGGCCTTCTTCAACCAACAAAGACTCCGAGTATCCGATGACTCCAAACCAACATATGACATGGCCTTCTTCAACCAATGATAAGCTGGAGCTTCCGAGAAGTCCAAGCCAGGACATGGCATACCCCTCTTCAATCAATGAGGAGCCAGAGGTTCCAAGTAGGCATCGGAGAAGAGCATCAATGGCAGCATCCCAGGCACTCAATTACCAGATGTCATTCATGGATGATGAAGATGTCCTTGTTGTCAAGGAGACACCAGATGAAGACTTTCAGGTTGAGGATGATGATGATGAGGAGGAGGAGGAGGAGGAGGAGGAGGATTCATCCTCCCCAAAACAGGTTGATCAAGGTGATCAGTCAGTTGAGAATTCTGCTGAATCAGCTGGAAATATGAAGTCAGAGACTTCTAACATGGATGCCCCGAAACAATTTCTTTCCAGCCATAAAACAATTCTAAAATGCATAGTTTGTTGCTATACATGCAATAATCGCAAAGCTCTGAAATGCCACATATGGGACGAGCATGGATCTGAAGTGTTCTTCTGTCAGTCATGTAACAAGATGTTCCTCGACAAGGCTGAAATGCAGGTCCACAGGGATGCGAAACATCCAAATCGGTTTGTCTGTTATGTGTGTGGCAAGTTCTACACTCTCAAAAGCCATCTGAACGCTCACATCAAGTTTGTCCACAACAACCACTCCCGCCATTGCACCTTTCCTGGCTGCGATAAGATCTTGAAAAATCCCAAAAGTCTCAAGGTGCATCTCAAGATGCATGAGTAAGGAGTGAGTGTTAAAAGACCTGAATTGACAATGTTTTCAGTGACAGTGGTGTTTTCATTGGCTGAGATACAAAACTATAATGTTTTCAATGATGGTCATGTTTCATGCCCCGAGATACGAAACCGTAATGTCTTCAGTGACAGTCGTGTTTTCATTGCCCGAGATATAAAACGTATTATGTTTTCAATGACGGTCATGTTTTCATGGGCCAAGATACGAAACTACAGTGTTGTCAGTGACAGTCGTGTTTTCATTGGCTGAGTTACAAATCGACAATGTTTTCAGTGACAGTCATGTGTTCATGAGCCAAGATATGAAACAACAATTTTGTCAGTGACAGTCATGTTTTCATGGGCCGAGATACGAAACTGTAATGTTGTCAGTGACAGGCATGTTTTATGAAGATATGACATGTCAATGTAGATAGTGACAGTTGTGCTACATTGAAATACTGATGGAAACAAAAAAGGCAGCATACAAATTCAACACAATCAGAATCAAATGTACAGATGTATTTGTGTGCTTATCGTTTTACTGTGTCTAAACCTTACTGTTCCCTTATTCATTTCCATCAGTATATGTAACCACAGTGTTGGTAGGGACAGTTGTGAATGTTGTTAATTACCTTTGACAGACCATTCTAACATGCGGCTTCAAGACGACTATGCTTGCCGTAAAAGGCGACTTTGCTTGTCGTGAAAGGCGACTAACGGGATCAGGTGGTCTGGCTCGCTTACTTGGTTGACGCATGTCATCGATCCCAATAGCGTGGATCAATGCTCATGATATCAATCACTGGATTGTCTGGTCCAGACTTGATTATTTACAGACCGCTGTCATATAGCTGGAATATTGCTGAGAGAGCCGTAAAACAACAAACAAACCAACGTCTGCTTCCGACTATCACTTCGTGCCTTGTGGCCTTCACCCATCGTTCCCATAGTACATATTTCCGCACATGTCCGGAGACATTCAGGTCATAGGTCACTTCCTACGACACATAACAGAGTTAACAACCCCACATGAATGCCAATCATTACGATTCGTTATCAATGTAAACCAAGGTCAGTGCTAAGGCATGCATGCCAGTACAGCCCTTTGTGTAGATGAATAGTATTTGTGTATGATTTAATCCCGTATTATAGGATTATTATAATAATAAACTACCAGAGTCTCTAGTGTTATACTTTAATCACATCTAGATCAGTTAGTTTTGCATTGGTCTCATATGGACTCGAAAAGGTCCCCAGAAATTGATGCTGTCATAAGAGGCGAGAAAATGGATCAGGTAGTGAGGTGACTTGTTGAATTGCAAGTCTTCATATACCAACGGCATTGAACATTATAATATAACAGAATATAATGATATCTAGTACAGTAAACTACGGTTATAACAAACTCAAAGGGACCACTAATTTTAGTTTGTTATAACAATAGTTTGTTGTAAATATTTCGACAAAATTTCCTCTCTAGTCGTCGTATTTAAAGACAGAATTTATCCACATCAAAGGCTCTAGTCTAATCACTGTTTAGCTATTGTTGACTAAGGGTGTAAATTATGTCAGTACAAGATACAGTTAATCACTTGCCTTCAATTGTTTGTTGCCACTTTTAATTGCAGCACGTGGCCGCGAATGTTTTGATAAACTGATTAGTGACGCGCTAGCAGCTGTGAGATTAACAGTTAGTTATAAACATTGTCATTGACTGTACACATGGGACCACAAAGTGAGTTCACTTTATCCATTATTTATCTGTGTGTGTGCTGGCATTTAGATATGACCGAGGAGGTTTTCATCTGATGGTAGCTGAGTCTTTGCTTGAATTATATCCAATTCCACACAGTAACAGTTTTGTCTTGTGTTGGCTTGGTTGTTCAATGCCACACTCAGCAATATTTCAGCTATATGCGGCAGACTGTAAATAATCTAGTCTGAACCAGACAATCTAGTGATTGATATCATGAGCATTGATCTATGGGATACGATGACATGTATCAACAATACAGAGAGCCTGACCACCTGATCCCGTTAGTCGCCTCTTACGACAAGCATAGTTGCCTTTTACGGCAAGCATGGGTTGCTGAAGACCTCTTCTACCCTGGACCTTCACAGGGTCATTTGTGTCATGACAATGTGCAATGATAATAAATTGTGTAAACGTTTGAAAACGTGTCTGTTGTATTTTATAGCTTGTCATGGCTGTGTGCCCCAAAGATATCCTAGCACTGTGATTATTGTTACAGTAGTAAGTATTGGTGGTGATGTCTTAGTTAGGTCTTGAACGTAGCATGCTGGTAGCACACACCTACTTCAGACAGTCCAGGAAACAAGTATATTTCTCAATTAAAAAACATAGTACTTGATTAATTCCAGCACAGTTGAAAATATGGATTGACTGTTTTTGTCCCGGTGATTCATGCCGACAAGTCCATGGTGCTAGATTCCCCCCATGTCAGGTTGTCCTGACAACTGGTCATACTTGACACGGGTTTACAGTAGCTTGTAGCTGTATGCCATATACTACAAACTTGAAAGCATCAGGGTTTTAAACTTTTATCAACTCTTGTTGATATATTTGATATCAAAAGAGTGATATTAACGTCATATAGGAATTATTTCAGCCTTATAGCTACTTGATATGAAAAGACTTTCTTATTGTGCAAGTTATATCATTGAAGAACATAACATATACTACTCAAAAGAAGTTGAGGACCACTGTCATGGTATGAAAGATTAACTAAAGTAACAATCGGGTGGTACTTAACTTCTTTTGAGTAGTATTAGAATAAAACGTCTAATCCGTTCATGATGCTAAGTCTTTATTATGTGGAATGCAATATTTGATACAGAAACTATCTACATGTATCTCGTCTGTTTATTGGTTCAGCCATGTGTAATGTAGTACTATTATATAATCAAGGTCAAGGTTGGAGGGGAGATAACTCATGTCTGAAAAATTAATATTTTATAAAGCTCGTTGAAATTCTTATGGCGCAAGACATCTGAAAAGACTTCCTAGCTGATTCTTTTAAATTCTTAGTGATTTACCACCGAGTATTCGTCACAATGTAGACGAAACACTTTTTATTCCGTCTCCTGGTATGATGTCAGCAGCTCTGTTCTCGTACCCTTCTCTCGAAGTATATACTCGCCTCTAAGTCCTCAACTACTGAATATCTCTGTCCTTCCACTTCAGTTCTCTCTGAGTCAGTAAATTTAAATCAAATTCATTCAATCTGAGACTTATGTGTGAGTATATACTAAACATGACAATTTCTGTGTCTCACTTTCAAAGTAAACGTTTTTGTGAAGGAAAGTTTAAATCTGAGACATTTTGACAGTCCAGGAAGATCAGCTGATCATCTTGAAGATTTGCAAATTTTGGGTAAGTAGCAGCTCCTTGTCTTATGCTATATGTTTAAAGTCAGAAGTACATACTCACATATCGTCTCTCAATTGAAGATTTTGTAATTGGCCAACACAATTTGTCTTTCTTTCTTTGGTCTTTTCTTTTGAAAAACTGTGATTAATAAATATTCTTGCATGAAACATTCCTTTTTCCTGCTGTGGTATAACGTTTGAAATGACATCTTCAGGTTTTTTAGCCATTAAACATTTCCTATTATGACTGATCTAGTTTGAATCTGAAGTCTCTGCTATTGTTCTTGTTAGATGTATATAGATGTTGATACACCAGAGTCATGTGTGCCTGTTGTTTCAGGTCGTGGTTGACCCGGAGTGGGAGGATGGCTTGAAGCTGGAGGAGGGGATGTACTACAGAGGCCATTACCTGGAGATGATACCACCCACCAGCAAGAAGCGGAAGCCGCAGAAGCGATGTCGTGTTTGTTACTCTCAGGGGCGGCGGCGGAAGGAGTCGCGGTATCAGTGTGGGTCGTGTCCCGAGAAACCCGGACTTTGTCTTGCACCATGCATGCAGATCTACCATGACCAGCGGGACATCCAAGTGCTGGACGCCACCATCCTTGGTTGACAAGATGTTTATTTTGCTGGCGGGGCAAGGCAGGTTCATGTTTCTAGGAGAAAGATGGTGGTGAAACGAGGCAGGTCCGTGATTCTTTGAGGAAGATGGTGGTGAAAGGAGGCAGGTCCGTGCTTCAGAGAGGAGGATGGTGCAATTTTGGCCGGTCCAGGCATCTGTGAGGATGGTGAAACGAGGCAGGTCTGTGCTTCGTTGAGAAAGATGGTGTGAAAGTAGGACCATGCTTCCAGGAGGACGTTGGTGCTGAAACGAGTCAGGTCCGTGCTCCTGGGAGTAGGATTGTGGTAAATCGAGGCAGGTCCATTGATTCTGGAAGGATGCATTTTTTTTAAAGAAGATCCCTGCTTCTAGGAATTTGGAATCATTTGAAAATGTAGAAAAGAATACCAAAAGGTTTAATGATAGTGATCATTTAGCTAAAAGAAAAATAACAATATAAAATAAAGTTGACTAAAATTTATTTTAGAATTCTTTGAAAGAATGATATTGAAATGAATATGGAAGTAATATTTGAAATGTTAGCATCAAATATTGGTAGTTCATGATCACGTTTGGGCTAACTGGTGTGGTGTGGCTATAGAGCGGGGAGAAGGTTGATGTGGATATCGATGAGGTTGATGTAGATGGGGTTTATGTGGCTGTAGATGGGGAAGAAGGGGTTGGTGTGGATATCGATGAGGGTGATGTAGATGGGGTTGGTGTGGATGTAGATAGGGAAGAAGGGGTGGGTGTGGATATCGATGAGGTTGATGTAGATGGGGTTGGTGTGGATGTAGATGGGGAAAAAGGGGTTGGTGTGGATATCGATGAGGTTGGTGTGGATGTAGAAGGGGTTGGTGTGGATATTGATGAGGTTGATGTAGATGGGGTTGTTGTGGATGTAGAAGGGGTTGGTGTGGCTGTAGAAGGGGTTGGTGTGGATATCGATGAGGTTGATGTAGATGGGGTTGGTGTGGATGTAGATGGGGAAGAAGGGGTTGGTGTGGATATCGATGAGGTTGATGTAGATGGGGTTGGTGTGGATGTAGTTGGGGAAAAAGGGGTTGGTGTGGATATCGATGAGGTTGGTGTGGATGTAGGTGGGGTTGGTGTGGCTGTAGAAGGGGTTGGTGTGGATATTGATGAGGTTGATGTAGATGGGGTTGTTGTGGATGTAGAAGGGGTTGGTGTGGCTGTAGAAGGGGTTGGTGTGGATATTGATGAGGTTGATGTAGATGGGGTTGTTGTGGATGTAGAAGGGGTTGGTGTGGATATCGATGAGGTTGATGTAGATGGGGTTGGTGTGGATGTAGGTGGGGTTGGTGTGGTTGTAAACCTGACACTCCATGTATTTGGTCAGATACAATCATGTTCCAGTTACCACCTGCCCATGTAGTGTATATACATACTTATACCCCCAGTCAATAGTACCTGAAGTCCCACTATTTACTGTGTTTGTAAATGATGCGTATCCTCCCTCTGTGAAATCCATACTGTATTTTTAAACAAAAGACTGTGCAATTGTGGTGCCACAAGTATGTGAGTGTTCCTTGGACATGTCAGTAACAAGCTCTCCTCAAGGACATTTCCATGTACAGTTTTACAGTGTTGACAGTTTGGAAACTCTTCTACAGTTGGTGCCCATGTTTTATCATGACGTTGCCGAGTGGCTACCTCTTGTCAAAACCTCATTATCATGACAATTGTTCCCACCAATCCCGATTTTTACTTTTTGGTATTTTGATGAAATAAACTCATGTCATGTTCCTTGAAATAAAATTCTTTCAGTGCTCCATATGAATTGTATATCTGCGTAAAATACGCACAATAAATCACCATTTTGGCTTTGAGTTGCTTGCGTGCAAACACAAATGACCAATTTGAAACCCAATAAAATTGGCTCATTTTATTCTACACATAACAAACATCTGTATATTTGTTCATATGCTATTAGTTATATTTCTCTTTCTAAAAAATCCTGAACAAGACATAATTTCAGTGTCCCTGTTTTGTATTCAACTTCTGTCACTTGAAATCCAGTTCTTTATTATGTCTTACTTTTGTTGTGCTTCTCTAATGTTTTTAATCGAGAGTGAACACCCGATTTATGGTTGACTTTGTTATGAAGGTAAACTGTAAATATATTGTTCAACGTTGGCTTGAGCAAGTGGAGTGATCATGTTTTGATTTCAAAACAAGTGCTGGTAAGAGCAAATCCTTATATTGTTTACAAAGAGAAATAAATTTTTACTACAATACAGTTGTTGTGTTATTTTTTACGAAGCAACTGAAGGACAGAATTGTGGGTTGTATTGTGATCACAGAGTTTGCTTTTAGGTAAACCTCGAGGTTTTGATTGCCTGATTGGGTACATTGGTGGAGCCTATTTTCTGAACTGGTTCAGTATTCCAATAATTCATGCACATAAACATCATCAATATCACAATGATACAGTGAATATGATCACTGGATTCCTGGAAAGAGTTTGTAGTACATGTCATCTGAGGAATGTATTGACCTAGATTACATTAATTAATTTCATATAAAGAGATAAGGAAAAGTTTAGGCCCCAAATCCATTTCTTCTTTTTGTCCCATGTCTGCCCAAAACAGACTTTATACATTGCCAAAGGCGATGTATTGGTGACAAGTTAATTTAGCAATTTGTGACATTGGCGCCATGCTACTCTGTCAGTAGTATTGATAGTTACAATAAAATAATGAAATAATTGTGATCAGTAACTTTTCCATTCATTTGTATCCCAAATACACTCTGAACAGACGTGTGAGTATCCTTTGAGAACATGTTTTTAAATTGATATCAATGAGAGTTACCTCCCTTATTTTCCAAATATCTTCTGAATATGTTCTTAAATTGATATCAGTGTGAGTTACCTCCCTTATTTGCCTAACATCTGATGAATAATGTCGTATCACATGAGAAAGTCAACATAGTGTGAGAGAAAGGACATAATCCCATCACAATGCTGTTTCAGTTGTAATAGCCTACAACTACTGCATTTCAAGTTACCGGAATAGTGTTTTAACTACAGCAATAGTGAACATCCCCTTGATAGTCACCGTATAGATATCACAGATTAAATGCAAATTTGAAAATGCTACAACAACACCCGCTGATGCGATACAGTTAACAGGGCTTTTGTCTTGCAATTAATACACGTTTGTGAGGGTAACATACAGAAGGTTCGACCTCTGTTTAGATAATCTTCTACGAGGTGCTGTATACATCTTTGTTGGATTGGAAGATGTGTTTGTATGATTGTTATTTGTAATTTGTCATTTGTAAAATTTAAATTAGGTCACGGCGAGTTCCTTAAACTTTTTTACTATTTATGGGCCAGGGAATTGTTGGGTAATAATTTGGGGAAATTTTCCTTGTGTTTCCTGGAATATTGATCAGTTCCAATTAGTTGTCTGTCACTATGGACAGCTATCAGTGTCCTTTTACTTAATGTGCACATGGTTTGCAGCGCAGATCATTAACCTGTTCTATTGTCCCCAATGTAGCAAATGTGCCCCACACAATTTCATCCTCGTAAATTTCGGCCGGTGTTTAGCAGAAGAAGGCGACCCCTCGTATTTGAGGTTCCCACTTATCTGACATACCCCACAGGTGAGTACTGGTGTCCGAGTAACTGTTGTACATAGCATATACGTCAATATCAGGGTTTATTGTAGGGTTATATGATGTTGATAGCATATACGTCAATATCAGGGTTTATTGTAGGGTTATATGATGTTGATAGCATATACGTCAATATCAGGGTTTATTGTAGGGTTATATGATGTTTATATCATATACGTCAATATCAGGGTTTATTGTAGGGTTATATGATGTTGATAGCATATACGTCAATAACAAGGTTTATTGTAGGGGGGATATGATGTTGATAGCATATCTGTCAATATAAGGGTATATTATATGGTTATATGATGTTAATAGCATACACGTCAATATCAGGGTTTATTGTTGGGGGATATGATGTTAATAGAATATACATCAATATAAGGGTATATTATATGGTTATATGATGTTAATAGCATACACGTCAATATCAGGGTTTATTGTAGGGGGGATATGATGTTCATAGAATATACATCAATATAAGGGTTTATTGTAGGGTTATATGATGTTAATAGCATACCGGGTACACATCAATATCAGGGTTTATTGTAGGGGGATATGATGTTAATAGCATACATGTCAATATCAGGGTTTATTGTAGGGGGGGATATGATGTTAATAGCATACACGTCAGTATCAGGGTTTATAGAAGTGGGGATATGATGTTAATAGCACACGCGTCATTATCAGGGTTTATTGTAGGGGGGATATGATGTTAATAGCATACACGTCAGTATCAGGGTTTATTGTAGGGGGATATGATCTTAATAGCATACACATCAATATCAGGGTTTATTGTAGGGGGATATGATCTTAATAGCATACACGTCAATATCAGAGTTAATTGTAGGGGGATATGATGTTAATAGCATACACGTCAATATCAGGGTTTATTGTAGGGGGATATGATCTTAATAGCATACACGTCAATATCAGGGTTTATTGTAGGGGGATATGATGTTAATAGCATACACGTCAATATCAGGGTTTAATGTAGGGGGGATGTGATGTTAATAGTATACATGTCAGTATCAGGTTATTTCATGGCAGGGGATGTTGAACGAAGGGGGATTGAGT